GATTATATTAGATTATATCCATTATACATCAGTATATCCATTCATGCACAAAGAAGAAGCCTGTCATGGCACAGCCACCCTTCTGAAAACCCTGCAGATTATGTTCTCCTGTATTTCGGTTGTTCCACTGCGACTGCTGCTTCCACTGCTGGCATACTGCCAGGCCATTTACTTGACCCTTGAATGCCGAAATCCCACTTGGCACTGGCCAAGACATCTCACACTCTGGCTTCCATTGTAGAAGTGCAGCACCAGCAGTGCGGCTGCCCATTGGGGCGCTGTTTACAGTTCCTTCTGGAATTTCTGGCGTCAGCAGGTGTACAAGCATGGACAAACAAAGCAGATACAACAATGCTCATAGTCGACGTTGGAATGCAAGGGCAACATGTACCCTATTTTGAATGCAATCCAAATGCAACCAGCATTCTGCAGTGAAAGTGGGAGGCTTGCAGTGTGCAAGCGTGTGCCACAGCCTTCCCACACATCAAAGACGATTGCCAATGTCACACTTTTCTCTGATTCTTTACAGTTTGCAACAGCATTAACATCACGCTCTGTCCACTTCCAGCCTTCCCACAGCATGTGTGCAAGCCAGTGCAAGTTTCTGCAGCACTTCAGCCTCCCAAGCAACAGCATAGTACTTTGTGCCATATCCATGTTCAGCAATCAAAACAATGCGAAACGCGTCAAACTACATTTTATGACAATATCACATATCTGCATACTCAGTATCATTCTGCTGTATCAAAGTACGCAGAGGCGAAGTCCGGCTGTCATTCGTATTGTTAACCCAGGCCTGGTCGCCGTGGACGTGCAGTGGGAAAAAAAGTGAGCCTCGAACTGCGACGTCAGTCGCTCGAGCCGCTCATTCAGGAATAAACGCGTAAGAAACGAATGTAAAATACTGACCCATGTACCACTTTTGCCGAAAAGGTTGACAAGTGGGACTGAAAAACCAACACTGGTGTTGAAGGGGGTTTGCGGAGGTGGGGTGGGGAAGGGGGGTTCGCCAAATTGGCTGTTTGACATATGATGAACTTTCAACCGCTGTTTACGTTTGACAATCCTGAACGCTCACGCTTCATTAGGGCTCATCCAGGCCCCGTTAACGAACGCGAACCTCCAAGCAATCCCCAACCGCATGTGCGCATATTTGTCCGGCAAGGTTCAGACATTGACCAAGTCAGCTGACGCGAGTCTGACGTCAGACCTGCGGCGTCATACACAGGCGCGCGACACTGTACGCTGCCCGGAACCGCCACGCCACACAACCAACCGAGAATATGTCAGTCCCTCTGTTCCGTGAGGACCCCTTCTTCCGCTGACAAGGCCAACGTGGGTCAGTGGGTCAGTTGGGGCAGTGGTTTTAGGGTTTAGGGTGTCTTCACCCCTTGACGGTCTCGACGGCAAAGGCAGGGCGACCAATTGCATGTCCCGAATCCATCCGCCCCGTCCCCCAACACCATGCCGACACTCGAGACACACCCGTCATCCTAATGCTGAGAGGCGTCAGCGCTCCTGGTGCCACTGGTACAACTGGTGCTGCTACTGCTGCTGGTGCACTGGTGCTGATGGTGCCACTGGTGCTACTGGTGCTACTGGCACAACTGAAGCAACAAGTGCTCCCGGTACAACTGGCGTCGCTTAGAGCTCCTGGTACAACTGGTGCTCCTGATGCCACAGGGGCTTCTGGTACTATGGGTCTGCGTGCCGATGGCGCTGTTCCCTTGCCCCGGGCGGACCAGCTCACCGTCAGTCTTGTACAGCGGCATGCGCCGCGTAGGCAGCAGCGGCCCCAGCGCCTCCCACAGGCGGTCCCGCACGAATCGCGCTGCGGCGACGCCCGCGTGCCCGTCGCATGCGCAGTAGACTGACCATGTCGGGCCGTCCTCGCGGCGCGTCAGGCCCTCCTGCACGAAGACGACGTCCTGTGCATCACACCATCGCGGATCACGGATGTCGGGGCTGCCAAGCGTGGGGCGGGAGGGTGCTCAAGGGGTTAGACTACCCGTTTTCCTGACCCTGGACCAAGGGGTCGGCAGAGCAGTGGGACATCCCACCCAGTGACACCCGGCTCGATCCCTGATCAGACATCCTCTTTACCATCTGCACTTTGACAACAAGGCAAGGGAGCAATCGCGCCTTGCGGGTAATGTCCGGGTGAGGCAAGAATAGAAGCGGTGTGCTCGGCGGGCGGCAATCGAAACCGGGACGCGGCCCGCGCACCGGGCGTCAGAGAAAAATGGAGCAACAAAAGGAAAACAAGCAGCGTGAAAAAGGGCGGGCAGCCTGGCCGGGGGGATGCATCCTGGGATGGCCGCCCCCGCAGGCGGGGATCCGAGGATCCTGTCCATTCCGCGCGTCGCGACTTGCGGCCCAATTCTACTGCGAAACCAAAGAAATTCATGGCTGGGCGTTAGAGGCGGAGGGGATCGGGCGCCGGGGGCGAATGGGGCCTGTCCCTGCCCCCGCCGCCGTCACCCGCGATCCCGCCCAGCCCCGCGCGATCGCCGGCGGCGCGAAACCCCCTTTGACTCAACGGCCCATCCGGTGACTGAATGCCATGACTGATGTTCGAGCCGACGAGGAGCGCGACGCTGGGTCGAGTTGGGCGGCGATCCCTCGACATCCCCGCCCCCTTCCGGGCCCCACCTGGCCCTTAGTCTGCTGCTGGGAGAATGAGTACTTCACGCTGGGTGCGCATCGATCCTCCCACAAATCGCAGTCGACCTCCGCGTGCCCGGGCATGCCGCCGCCCCCGCGCCCTCCAGGCTCGCCACCCGGCGCCCCATCCCCCCTCCCTCTCGGTGGCCGCCCCATCCCTGCCCCGGATCGGCGACCCCGGGCGTTGTGTCACCCGCCCGTGACGCTCTCGCCGCGGCGGTTGACCGCTTGCACGACCGTTGACGGGCGCGTTGACCAACGCGCTGACTTCTTGCACGGCCGCTGCCCGCGGGATTCGGCGGCCGAAGAATGATCCTAGCCTGATGTTTCTGGGTCCCGTGGCCTCGGGAGTTTTTTTGGGGGAGGGGGTGCCGCGGGGCCAAGCCCGGGTTGCCGGCCGGCGGGGGGCCGCCGGAGGCGCCCAGAGGCTCGCGCCCTGCGCGGGTTGATGCGGCCGCGTGGGGCGTCGCTTTTTGATGCGCCCCTGGAGGGGTATGGGGGTGATTTGGGCGGTACACGTGACACGTGGAGGGGGGAGATGCGCATTGGAAGGGGCAGGGCAGGGAGGCGCTTGGGTACGGCGCTGGACCGTACAGCGCTCGGGCGACGGGTCCAGATCCCTGCCCGGGTGGTGGGCAAATCGACGAAGGGTGTGAATGCCCCAAAGCCAGGATGCGAAATCTCCAAAACCAGGATGTGAATGTGCACATCCAAGATACCGCAGGTTTTTAAACCCTTATGCATGGGAAAATTTTACCGCTGCACTTTTTGCACCCCATTACATTTCTCAGAGCATTATTTTTATTGTTTTTGCTTTGCCATGCAAACATTTTATTGAAAAAGCGTTACTTATTCTATTGTTTCTCCACAGAAAAAAACACACATTATGTTACCATGCGGAAGGGCTCTGTTAAATTTGCCGTTAGTCATGAAGCCGTGTCACCCAATGACTGGCTCATGACTAGCACATGGCAACTGATTGGGTGCCACAACACCATAGACCAGTCAGTATTGACATGCATAATTGCACAACACTATTAGAGAAGCGAGAAAAGCAAGCTGATAGACCTCTGCCGATCTAAGCTAGCAGCAATTCCTGAGAAAACAAAATGAAAGACACGTTTTTAAAGGTAATAGTGGGCAGTTATACCCCTAAATCGCTGGCCAAATCAACTGATGACTAGGATATAGAGGCAGAAGTATAACTGGCATCACTCACAGTATGAAATTGGGCACTTATGGTACCATCAGATTTGTGATAACCCGAAAATTGGGGGAAACGCTACCAAAATTTGGCCAAAATATACCATGTTTTGTTGCAAAAATGGCAGATATTCGGCCCATAGTTTGGGTAGAAAATTGGCCGGGAATATGGACATCATGCTGCTGACAATCATGTCAGGGTATGCAGCCAACTAATAAGAGTTTATTGAAAAAAACAGGAACTGATTTTGATAAAAATTTGAGGAAGTTATGGGCCAGAATAGTGTCGTCTCGCTAGCTGCTTGGTCATTGAATTAGGTGTCATTTTGGGGACGCCGTTGGCTGGCAATTGATGGTGAGAAGTTTTAATGTCTTTGGTAGTATGTGCAATAGATATGCTATTGTTGGATGGTACAAAATGTGTGAAGGGGTCAGCAGGCCGTCCGAGAGCACTACTTGAACTTTTCTGAGCAATGTTGTCCAATATATCGGGCGTATTGATAGAACTATTACGCGGGATTGTGTCCAAAGCATGGCGCCTTCTCACACCAGCTAGGGTACTAATGTGAAATTTTTGAGCATATTTTAGAATAAGAAAAGGCAGTAGTTCAACAGCCATTGGCCAAAAAATATCCATGGTGCTCTCGGACATGGGATTGGAAAAATTCACTATAAACTTGGAAAATATGCTGGGAATATATATAGTTTTATAGGATAGAGTCTCCCTATCATGGGATTCCAAAGTGGAATTGGACAAAGGGGCAATTAATAAAATCCAAGTTAGACATATATTTACATATGAATTCAAAGTAAAATCAACAATATTGTTGTGTGAACAGTGTTTTTGGTTCTTTATTCGATCAGAGTGAGATGCGACACAAAGGCGCGCGGAACAATTATCCGTATGGAAGCTTCGCATCGAGCGCAGCGAGGTGATTTTGGGATTTTGTCCATTTTCGGGCCATTTCGTTGCATTGAAATGAGGGTTTTGGGGACGGTCTGGGTGCTTGTGGAGACGGTGGTTTAAGTACAGGGTGACTTGAGGGTTATGTAACCGTGCTGTGTGCCGCAGGGACAAGACGTTGGGAACCCCATAACGAACATCCCGTTTTGCTGTCACTGCCTGCCTGCAAACCGCGCGCAAGGCAATGTTAGACCCAATCCGCCCTTCCGACTGATGCACCACAGAGGCCGTTCCGCCAACGGGTCCACCACATCCGTGCTGTGTCCAGATCGATCAAGCGACCATGCCGATTACGCCTGGCCAACCGCCAGAGGGATCGTCGATCCATCGCACGGGGCGCGCGCGGAAAAACCACACACCAAATATTGTGTTGTTGTACATCGGACATTTTCCACATCGCATGTAACCTAGGAATCCACCGAATGCATCCATACGGGGCGTTGGGGACCTGGACCCTAGGGCCCACGAGAGGCAGTGTATAGCGTGGTTACTTGGGGTTAGACCTAATTGGCACTTTTTTAGGTGGTAATTTGTAATATTTGCATTTTGACCTTTGGTGAGCTTATTTAGTAGCTTTGAATGCTTCTAAGCTTTAGAAATGCCTAAATCCATTAAGAATTGGTAAAGTTATGGTTTTGTAAAATTATGATACTTAAGGTTTCAGATGAAGAGGGATAGTACTTAAGTCTAGAGGGAGACGGTTCGGTCGTGGATGAACAGGAGATGGTGATACAATTGCTTTTATAGATGAATTAAATATATTTGATTACCCTAAATGGGTTTGAGTTGGGTAAATTGGCCTTGTGGTGGTTGCAAAGAACATGGGATAATTAATTAAGCAATTAAAGATAATCTTGTATGATGCATATCAGGTTAACCGTACGCCCTCACGCACGCTCGCACACGGTCGCTCCTCAGGCACGGGAAGCGATACTGCAAGCAGATGCATTACAAGACGACCACATCAACTATATAGTGTTCGCAGGAAATGTCCCCATTCAGTCACCCACTGTTCCCACATTCACCATGTTTTATCACCATGTTCACAATGACAAATTACACCGTATTTAACACCATTCACCTTATAATTATCCGTTGTAGATTCGTCGCCCTCACACGCTTCCCTGCGCTAAACAATCACTCTTTCAACAACTTCGTCCCTCAGATTGCATCCCTGTACGGCTTAAGCATGTCCGTATGCCTAACCCAGATTTTCCCCTCTGGCCCAAGCACCTCCCAAACTGCATTCGTTATAGGGCGAATCAACTGCCCCGGGCCCCTCCACCATGGTTCGAGCTTGTCCTTCAAAGTCTCGACTTTTGTGTTCCACAACCACACTTTGTCCCTTGCTTTGAATGTTCGCTGGATACGCCGCCCCTTTGACCTGTGGTTTGCCTTTGCACACTGCTGTCGTGCGTACTCGTGTAGCTGCCTCCACACAGCCCGAGAACTGTTCCACAACTGGTTGGGTGATCCAAACACAAAAGACTTAGGGGTCTCCTTACTCTCCTCTGGAGAAGAGAGAGGTGTGCCATTGTAGATAGTCACTGCCTGCTCAACCATCCTGGCAAAATACTTGGGTTCCTCTGCCCACATTCGCCTCAAACGATTCAACAATGTTTGATTGAATCGTTCCACAAATCCAATGGATGCGTGGTGGTAGGGAGGTGAGTACTCTTGCGTCACTCCCTCTTGTACGCACCACTCCTTCAACTCCTTGGATTGTGTTGCCTTGCACACATCGGAACACAAAATCGAAGGTGCCCCATGCATTTGCGCCCACCTTTTTAGCCCCCTCACAATGTCTGCCCCTGCCGCACCCGTCACTGCCCACGCCCCCGCACGCCTGGTCAACATGTCCACTATGACAAGAACAAATCGCTTCTTTCCTACTTTCCTCTCAGGGAAAGGCCCCATGAAATCCAAGCCAATAACTTGACCTGGTTTCTCCGGCATATGCCAACTCCCAAATGGGTTAGATGGTTGTGGTCGGTGAAATAGCTGGCACTCCTTGCATGATCGCACCTTGTCAGTTACCCACTACCACGTTGGACGCAGACCCATCTGGGGAAAACGAAGATATGTCTTCTTCACTCCGAAATGTCCTGCGTGGGCCTGCTTCCATTGTGCCTGAGTAATGAATAAAGAGCGAGGTTCTTCCACTGCGTGAACATGAGATAATCCAGAAATCCAGGCCCCCTGTCGAGACAAAAAATCTGCCAAGTAATTAAATGGCCCTAGGCAAAATGAAATCCGAGGAGCATACCAAGAAAGCTTATCCAGACGTCGCTTGAGAAAATCACTCAAGTTTGCCGGTTTATTAAAACTCACAACTGCTTGGTTGTCCATCACTGCATGAACAGGAGCGCCAAAAATCCAGGGCCGAAAAGTCCGGAGAGCCCAACAAAGTGCCTCCAACTCCATCACATTGCTGACATGGTGCTGAAAACCGGTTGACCATAAACCATGTGCACAATGTATAATCCGCTGACCAGCCAGTAAAACAGCCCCCCAACCAAGCTTGCTCGCATCAGTGATCACAGTGAAGGATCCTGAAGAGGCAGAAGAGGGAATAGCACATCGAACAAAATGGTGACGCAATAGAGAAAGAAAACGTCGCCACCCAGCCAATGAAAGATGTGCTTGAACCTCTCGCAAAGCCGCCAACACCAGATGCCCCCGCCAAATAAAGCGAGCAGAGTGGTTCAGCCAGCCACGAATCTGGCGCCAACCCAATTGAGTCGTCGGCATAGGAGCCTGTTCAAACTGGGTTAGCACAGAAGCAGTAGGTTCCAGGCCAAACGAAGTTAGGGTCACTCCCAGGTACTCAAAACGGTCCCGGCAAAACTGGCACTTGTCCCAATTAACACGCCAGCCATCTTTCTCCAACTCCTCTAATAAAATTGCCAAGTCCCGCTGATGTTGGGACTCCGACTGTGAAAGTAAAAGGATATCATCCATATAAAACAGAATCTGAGAGTGAATGCGT